GAAAAAGATACATTTATTCATACTTGATACTATAAACTTTTATTGCTGCAGTTGCTCTAATGTTGAGTAATTATCCCTAATTTTGTGTATACTGAAGCATTCAAAGAAATGTCAGCAGATGGCACTGCTGAATTAAAATCCCCAGAGACCACACCGATGAGTCAGAACTTTTCAGGAACCTTATTTTAACTATGACTCATATTTGATTGTAAATTCTTAGCAATAATAGCTGCGGATCTTTGCTCATGTGTCTGTTTTATGCCAGTTTTGATTGATTGCACATTAATTTCATTCCATTTTTATTTACATAGCAACAGATGCCTCAAGATGCTTTAAAAACTACAATAATAGAGGGCAGAACCAGACATCTATTTTTTTTCTTTTTTTAAAAAAAATGTGGTCCTTTCTGGCAGCTTTTGCAATCAGAATTGTCATCTGAATGCATGGTGGTGCTGAAGACATTTTGATTTTGCACAAACAGCTATATAGAATCTCTATAGGCTCCTCTTATTCATGTGAATCTTTTATTTGTTTATTTATTCATTTCTTTTTGTGCTATTTCAGATATTACATTATATGTGGTATAATAAATAAATGGTATAATGTCTAAGGCAAAGCAGGCAAGAGAAAACAAAAAGAGCTGGTGGTGGTGGCAATGCTGTGACTGGTTGGGGTTTAACTCAGTTCAGTTCAATTCAATTTTATTTATACAGCGCCAAATCACAACAACAGTCACCTCAAGGCGTTTTATATTGTAAGGTAGACCCTACAATAATACATACAGAGAAAAACCCAACAATCATATGACCCCCTATGAGCAAGCACTTTGGTGACAGTGGGAAGGAAAAACTCCCTTTTAACAGGAAGAAACCTCCAGCAGAACCAGGCTCAGGGAGGGGCGGGGCCATCTGCTGCAACTGTTGGGGAGAGAGAAGGAAGACAGGATACAGACATGCTGTGGAAGAGAGACAGATATTAATAACGAATCATCAAATGCAGAGTGGAGTAAACACACACAAGTTAAAAGAGCTGAGTTAAGAATAAACACTCTGAGCACCTACTGCAGTGTAACTAGGGGAGGATTCAGGGTCACCTGGTCAGTCCTAAATGTAACCTTTTTCAAAAGGGAAAGTCTTCAGCCTAATCGTAAAAGAAAATGTCTGTTTCCCAAATCCAAACTGGGAAATAATTCCACAGAAGAGGGGTGGGAAATCTGAGGGCTCTGCCTCCCATTCTATTTTTAACTATCCCAGGAAACATCAGTAAACTTGCAGTCAGAGAGCAAAGTGCTCTATTACCTCATACAGTACTATGAGGTATAAAGCATTCCTACATACAGGGAGTGCAGAATTATTAGGCAAATGAGTATTTTGTCCACATCATCCTCTTCATGCATGTTGTCTTACTCCAAGCTGTATAGGCTCGAAAGCCTACTACCAATTAAGCATATTAGGTGATGTGCATCTCTGTAATGAGAAGGGGTGTGGTCTAATGACATCAACACCCTATATCAGGTGTGCATAATTATTAGGCAACGTCCTTTCCTTTGGCAAAATGGGTCAAAAGAAGGACTTGACAGGCTCAGAAAAGTCAAAAATAGTGAGATATCTTGCAGAGGGATGCAGCAGTCTCAAAATTGCAAAGCTTCTGAAGCGTGATCATCGAACAATCAAGCGTTTCATTCAAAATAGTCAACAGGGTCGCAAGAAGCGTGTGGAAAAACCAAGGCGCAAAATAACTGCCCATGAACTGAGAAAAGTCAAGCGTGCAGCTGCCAAGATGCCACTTGCCACCAGTTTGGCCATATTTCAGAGCTGCAACATCACTGGAGTGCCCAAAAGCACAAGGTGTGCAATACTCAGAGACATGGCCAAGGTAAGAAAGGCTGAAAGACGACCACCACTGAACAAGACACACAAGCTGAAACGTCAAGACTGGGCCAAGAAATATCTCAAGACTGGTTTTTCTAAGGTTTTATGGACTGATGAAATGAGAGTGAGTCTTGATGGGCCAGATGGATGGGCCCGTGGCTGGATTGGTAAAGGGCAGAGAGCTCCAGTCCGACTCAGACGCCAGCAAGGTGGAGGTGGAGTACTGGTTTGGGCTGGTATCATCAAAGATGAGCTTGTGGGGCCTTTTCGGGTTGAGGATGGAGTCAAGCTCAACTCCCAGTCCTACTGCCAGTTTCTGGAAGACACCTTCTTCAAGCAGTGGTACAGGAAGAAGTCTGCATCCTTCAAGAAAAACATGATTTTCATGCAGGACAATGCTCCATCACACGCGTCCAAGTACTCCACAGCGTGGCTGGCAAGAAAGGGTATAAAAGAAGAAAAACTAATGACATGGCCACCTTGTTCACCTGATCTGAACCCCATTGAGAACCTGTGGTCCATCATCAAATGTGAGATTTACAAGGAGGGAAAACAGTACACCTCTCTGAACAGTGTCTGGGAGGCTGTGGTTGCTGCTGCACGCAATGTTGATGGTGAACAGATCAAAACACTGACAGAATCCATGGATGGCAGGCTTTTGAGTGTCCTTGCAAAGAAAGGTGGCTATATTGGTCGCTGATTTGTTTTTGTTTTGTTTTTGAATGTCAGAAATGTATATTTGTGAATGTGGAGATGTTATATTGGTTTCACTGGTAAAAATAAATAATTGAAATGGGTATATATTTGTTTTTTGTTAAGTTGCCTAATAATTATGCACAGTAATAGTCACCTGCACACACAGATATCCCCCTAAAATAGCTAAAACTAAAAACTACTTCCAAAAACATTCAGCTTTGATATTAATGAGTTTTTTGGGTTCATTGAGAACATGGTTGTTGTTCAATAATACAATTATTCCTCAAAAATACAACTTGCCTAATAATTCTGCACTCCCTGTATTTTTAGGAAATGCTGGTAAAAAACAAGACTTTCCGTGGCTTCATAGTGCTGCTGAAGGCCAAGGTGATGCAATCCAGTTTAAGTATCAGGTTATATTTTTAGGGCCGAGTAATACATTCAGTAAGAAGCAGGAAATTAGAGATCACCTGATCATTTGTCTTTAAGAGTTTAACTCAATGTGGGTCATCATATAATGATACAACCTAAGGGAAGCATCTATAAACTAAACGAAACAGATGCCTCGGGTGAGCATCAACCTCCGATTATTAAACTGACACGTCGCTTAATGCGCCAACTTGCACTTGAAACTCCACTGTATCCACAGCAACAGGAAAAGTTGGGAACAGTTTTGAGGACCCATGCAAGACTTCAGATGGCTTCTAAAATGTGTATATCGTACCCGTCCAGCAAAATACATTACTGTAACTTCAGGGCAAGCTAACCTGTTTATCCTATATTAAATTGCCAAGTAGATTCGTGAAACCTGTTTTTCAGGACATTTCACAATATGAAAAAACCTTCACATCAGTGTGAATTGGTCCACTAAAACTACACTAAACTAAAAGAACCGAGATACCTAAATTATGACTAAATGTCATAGTAGACTATCAATATAATTAAATGAAAATTTGCTGTCAAAGTGAACCTTGAATCATACAGATCCAATATCTGATTTACGAATAAGGACTTTACAGATCGGCTTTCCATTTTCAGTTTATTAAATCTTGCAGAGTAGTCCTTACCTTTAAATATAACCTCTCTCCTCTGTGAATATTACTAAACAAATAAAATCAATTGTCTTGACATGTTGACTTTAAGTCGATTTAGCACAAATACTCTAAACACCTCCCGGATTAAAGCGTGCATTGAGTGGGCACATAACTGTTAATCTGTGTGTTAACTAAAAACACACTGAGCATGTATCGTCTCTCCACACAGCCATTCACTGGTGCAGCGCACGTTTAAGACGGTGGATTTCTACGGAAAGTACCAGGACAACATGACTCCTGTGGGTCTGGCCTTCTTCCAATGCCAGTGTGATCAGTATGTGACAGATACCGTGCACAACACAAGACAAATCACATAACAACACAATACATGCTGGAACCTGCACGTCTCTCTAACGCGTTCATCTAAGTTGGGCCAGGATTTTTGTGACAGCTGGAAATGTGAGTTTAACGGTTTGCTTTCCTGCATCTTCTCTCTGCAGACATGAGGAAACGTGTCAAATACCGGCAGCCCCTACGCTAGCTGGAAAGATACAGAGATGGAAAAGAGCACAACTATGGAATGTACAGGTTATGCAACACATGCATATTTGAGAAAACGTCAACAACTATGTGGACAATGTTTGTCATATTTATGTCATGATTGTAAAAATAAAGCAAATTTCAGCAGCACTGGTGTTGCTTTATATTTTGCTTTGTTAAAGACCATATATATGTCACATAGCTCCACATCTTCATTTTAAGCATTTCTAGTAAACAATGGGAGATTGACGATGGCTCCTGGGCTAGGCAGATCCTCACGTACTAATGAATATTTAATGAATTGGAAAAAAGGGAGGGAGCGTGGGGCACAAAAGCTTGTAGAATCTGATTATAGCTATGACTCATATTTGCCTGCATATGCTTATCAATTATAGCTGCCCATGTTTGCTTATGTGAAATGTCTCTTTACTGCCAGTTTAGATGGATTGCACTTACAGTTTAAAAACTTCTGCGTGCCTGTCTGATCAGAACAGAACAAAAAATACAAATATTTAAGTACAACATGCCCTCATATGTTTGAAAATTTGCAAAAGTTTGTGGTTTTCATATTTTTAATCCCCTTCAGATAAATTTCAATAATTGATGTTCCGATGTTTCCTTATCTTGGCATTTCCACATTGCTCTGTATTAATCTTTATAGTTAAACTGAACCCTGTACGATCTATCATGAGCTGAAAGGCTGCAAAGTTTCTTGCCTTTTCTTATCGGCTCTTCTTCTTTTAAAATATTTCTTGGCAGTTGCAAACAGCAAAATGGTGCATTACTGCCAGCAACTGGTGTGGAGTGCGTCTTTGCTCCTCTTTTTCTTCCAAAGCAAGATAATTGGAGCTGATGAGCTGCAGGTGTGACGCCTGCACAGTGGCCTTTTTAAACCTCACAGGTGACTTCCATCTGTGCTTGGTTGCTGGAACAATGGGAGCTGTTCGGACCATTCTCGTTTGTCTGCTGACTGTTTGGCTTGCTGGAGGTTTTGTAGCTTCTTTCTGCTTCGTTTGACACTTATGTTAATTAACGTAGGAGTAGATTTTTGTAAGATAAGATCTTGGAACTGCTAGAAGGTTCTGGTGTAAAGATTCGGAAATATCACTTAGCTATTGCAAGTTATCTCTTTTGGCATCAAACGGCATAAAGAATGAACAGAAACATGCTAATTGTAAATCATGTTCCTCCTGTTTTGCAGTCAGTGGCTTGAATCACAGACAGAATAAAGTACTGCAGAGGGAAAAGACGGGTAAGGTCCCTGGCGTCTAATTTATGCTTGAGGGCACACGGTTACAAAATTCATTTCAAGATGGTTGGTGATTAAAATGCCTGTCATTCATCTGAAAGAGTGAAAAATGTATAGAACACAAAATTTTCAAAAGCTTATCAGGGCATGTTGTACTACGTGTATTCATTTTTTTTTGTATCCTGTGATTTGAAGTTATTAAATAAGAAAAATGAATGGGGGGGGAAATGCTTAAATTGTCAAGAACTGGGTTGTTGCCAGCAGTTGAGTTTAATGGTTATATTATGTGTAATGTTTTCAAATTAAAAGTATAAAACACAGGGTCATAATTCAAATAGACACTTATGCAAGTACCTGTTACTGTCTGTATGTGTGGACTCGGAGGAAGATATTTGTTAACTTTGGAAACCAGCTGAAGGTTGTAGTATAAACTTTCCCTCAATGTGAAAACCTCTGGTATAATAAGAATGTTGTGTTTACAGGTCTTGGAGCCAATGATGGTTCAATACAGAGAGCGCTTGCTCTGCTCCAGTCAATATTGACCCAAAATGTTGATGAAGGTAAGCAAGATCCAGTTTTATGTAGTTTGTTGCCAGTAGTTGACAAGAATGTGACAGCACACTTGTGTGGGGCACCTGCATGAGGGCTTTGGTCAGTGGTGTTGTAATTGACTTAAAAATCCTTATCTACATTGTTCATGGACATGATGTAGATATTTATGCAACAGTATCCTTGCATATGACCAAAAAGTCATGTAGGGCACAAAGTCTGGGACCAGTTGCTTGGTGTGGTTTTGACTAAATCTTAATCGTGTTTGTGGTTTTGTTTTAAATTTTGTTTTTAATTTTGTTCCAGTACAACAGGAAACTAATGAAGTGGATACTGAAGCATCAGTTGGAAACTTGAAATCTGAATTGCCTTTGAAAAAGCCAAACAATGTTAAAACCGTGAAGGGAAAAACTGCAGTCAGTCAGAAGGTTGGTTTCCAGGGAGGTTTCTCCAAACCGACTGACTCCAACGCCACGGCGGGCGGCCTGCCGACTGACTCCAACGCCACGGCGGGCGGCCTGCCGACTGACTCCAACGCCACGGCGGGCGGCCTGCCGACTGACTCCAACGCCACGGCGGGCGGCCTGCCGACTGACTCCAACGCCACGGCGGGCGGCCTGCCGACTGACTCCAACGCCACGGCGGGCGGCCTGCCGACTGACTCCAACGCCACGGCGGGCGGCCTGCCGACTGACTCCAACGCCACGGCGGGCGGCCTGCCGACTGACTCCAACGCCACGGCGGGCGGCCTGCCGACTGACTCCAACGCCACGGCGGGCGGCCTGCCGACTGACTCCAACGCCACGGCGGGCGGCCTGCCGACTGACTCCAACGCCACGGCGGGCGGCCTGCCGACTGACTCCAACGCCACGGCGGGCGGCCTGCCGACTGACTCCAACGCCACGGCGGGCGGCCTGCCGACTGACTCCAACGCCACGGCGGGCGGCCTGCCGACTGACTCCAACGCCACGGCGGGCGGCCTGCCGACTGACTCCAACGCCACGGCGGGCGGCCTGCCGACTGACTCCAACGCCACGGCGGGCGGCCTGCCGACTGACTCCAACGCCACGGCGGGCGGCCTGCCGACTGACTCCAACGCCACGGCGGGCGGCCTGCCGACTGACTCCAACGCCACGGCGGGCGGCCTGCCGACTGACTCCAACGCCACGGCGGGCGGCCTGCCGACTGACTCCAACGCCACGGCGGGCGGCCTGCCGACTGACTCCAACGCCACGGCGGGCGGCCTGCCGACTGACTCCAACGCCACGGCGGGCGGCCTGCCGACTGACTCCAACGCCACGGCGGGCGGCCTGCCGACTGACTCCAACGCCACGGCGGGCGGCCTGCCGACTGACTCCAACGCCACGGCGGGCGGCCTGCCGACTGACTCCAACGCCACGGCGGGCGGCCTGCCGACTGACTCCAGTTCACTAAATGTGAAGCAGCTGAAGTTGGTGCTGGAAGACTTGACTTTGGCTTTGGAATCTTACACTAATTCCACAGTCCTGACACAATAGCAAGAAAAGTCCTTTGCTCTTGAATAAAACTCTTAACTTCAAGTTATGTGTTTATTTGTCCACTGATCAAGGTACTTTACCTATTTCTAACATTTTAGTGATTTCCATAGTAATCCTAGACCAATTGAATTATTGGTATAATTTGAGTAGGTAAGTTCTGGGTGGTTTTATTTAAAAAAGCCCAACAAAAAGCTAGTTTACCAAAATGCCAAGAACAATCAGAGGGAGAAAGTCAGAGCTCTTTTGAGAAAACAATCCCTTTAATGTTAACCAGTAATGACTTCATGAACTTCACAAATAAAATTTTTATCATTAAAGAAAAAATTACCAATAATCATCCCACAGATGTAATATTATCTACAGCTACTTTAGTACCATTGATGTTAAGTTAGACTCTTTTTCTCCAATTGATCTTTCTGAGTTAACTTCAATAATTACTTCCTCCAAACCATCAACGTGTCTTTTAGACCCCATTCCTACAAAACTGCTCAAAGAAGTCCTGCCATTAATTAATTCTTCGATCTTAAATATGATCAACCTATCTCTAATGATCGGCTATGTACCACAGGCCTTCAAGCTGGCTGTAGTTAAACCTTTACTCAAAAAGCATCTCTAGACCCAGCAGTCTTAGCTAATTATAGGCCAATCTCCAACCTTCCTTTCATATCAAAAATCCTTGAAAGAGTAGTTGTCAAACAGCTAACAGATCATCTGCAGAGGAATGGCTTATTTGAAGAGTTTCAGTCAGGTTTCAGAGCTCATCACAGCACAGAAACAGCTTTAGTGAAGGTTACAAATGATCTTCTTATGGCCTCTGACAGTGGACTCATCTCTGTGCTTGTCCTGCTAGACCTTAGTGCAGCATTCGATACTGTTGACCATAATATCCTATTAGAGCGATTAGAACATGCTGTAGGTATTACAGGTACTGCACTGCAGTGGTTTGTATCATATCTATCTAATAGACTCCAGTTTGTTCATGTAAATGGAGAGTCCTCTTCACACACTGAGGTTAATTATGGAGTTCCACAGGGTTCAGTGCTAGGACCAATTCTGTTTACATTATACATGCTTCCCTTAGGCAGCATCATTAGAAGACATAGCATACATTTTCACTGCTATGCAGATGACACCCAGCTCTATCTGTCCATGAAGCCAGATAACACACACCAATTAGTTAAACTGCAGGAATGTCTTAAAGACATAAAGACCTGGATGGCCGCTAACTTTCTGCTTCTTAATTCAGATAAAACTGAGGTTATTGTACTCGGCCCTGAAAATCTTAGAAATATGGTATCTAACCAGATTCTTACTCTGGATGGCATTATTTCATGTTTTAAATGTTAGTAAAATGTGCCACCCTGTGGCCCCTTTAAGTCGATATTTTGTGACAGTAGAAGAAGAGTTAGACAGGAAGTTCATGTTTTCTTGCTATGCTGTTTCAAGATGGCTGCTCCACATTCATGTCCTTCTTTGGGTGTTTGTTAAAGCATTGTCTGTAAGTATTTAATGGTAAAAAGCAATGAGACACTCCAAGTGTTGTCTTTATGTGTGATGGACCACAGTTAACAAGTTTTCTATGTGCTATTCATATGTAAATGAGATCGCCAGTTCATATGCTAATTAGCGGTGCTAATCGTCATGCTAGCTTCTCAAATGCATTGTTAGGTCATTGGCACATGTTGTTG